TTTTTTTTTTTAATTTCGAACTAGTCGTTTATTTGTTATTAATTATTATTATTATCATTATTATTATTATTATTATTATTATTATTATTATTATTATATAATTGTTAAAAAAAAAAGTCTGGTATTATAATGGATATTTAGTATCTGCGCAATAAAATTCATATTTAGCGACATTTATTAAATTGAAACTTGAAACAATTTTTTTTTATATGTATAATTTAAATAGATAGGCTACATTATTCACATTTTTACAAGTAAAAAAATAATGTCTGAACAAAATGTGTTGTGAAACAGAATAAAAAAATTAAATAACTAAGATATATATAATATAAATTTGTAAACGTTTTAAAATAAATTATAGCCAAATAAATTAAACAAATTTATTGCTTGAAGTACTGTGGTTTTTTTTTCTAAGGTTTATAAATATATGGTACCTATACCTATTAATTCTTAACAACTTCACTATAAACAATGTAAACCAATATGTACCTATCGTACATTTTTGTACCTCTATACATTTAAAATGTATTCAAATCAAATTCAAATACTAATGTTTAAAATACTCAGTGTTCAGTGAATAATATTAATATAAAAATACTTAGTAATTTTATCTTGAAGATTTAAAACTATCATTATTTGATCACATAGGTACCTACAGGCTTCAGTTTAACATAATACATACAATTATACAAAGTAGGTAAGTAATTAAAATGCGTCTATGCTACTTGCTACATAAATTATAAATAGAGAGAGAATTTGTATGCATTAAAAAGTGTCAAAATATGCTATACCTATAGGCTATAATATGCAATCAAAATCGTGAAAATTTGCAACAAATATGCAAGAAAAAAACTTTAAATTTTGTAATATGGTAAAAAAATTGCTTTCAAAAATAATTTAAAGCACATCAAATAACTTATCATTATAATTATTTAGGTATAATAAACAAAAAAAATTTTTATTCTATTTTATTATTAAAATGAATAATCGCTATTAGTGCCTATGAAATCTATTATAACATTTTATACTTGAGAAAATATTATTTTATACATTTTTTAAAAATTGTTGTTTTAATATGCAATACATTTTGAATTTTGTCAATTTATACAGAAATATGCAATAACCATTGAATATGCAGTAATATACTAATATGCAAGTTCACCATTACCTTTTAACTATTAGAGTTCGTAAAGATTAATGACGAAAAAGAAAAAAATGAGAAAAGAAAAATATGCAATTGCATAAAATACCATTCTATAATTATAAGTATTTCTTATCATACCTACAACCTACATACATTAAAATTTATTTGGATTTTTTTCCACCTGTATAAATTAATATGTACAGTAATTATGAGATAGGTAAGACCTTCTGTTAAACCAACCTTTTAGTTTAACATTTGTTCTAAAAATAATTATTAACAAGTATAGGTACCTATTAGGAAACTGCTATTGAACACTGAACCGACTCCTTCGCTTTACTCGTTCTTTAATGATCCGTGATTCAAACTTTGAAGTTTAACCCAAATTGTTGTTACCAGTTGAATTAAATTACTAAAATTGAATTCAACTTACACTCAAGTAAATTGTATTAATTAATCATTACTATAAAACTTAAATAATAGGTACCTACCTACCTAACCTACTACCAAAATCTGATTTAATGTATTTACTACATGGTTGCGTGGTTATAAAAAAAATACTCTTTTCATAGTACCTATCTATACAAACTTAGTATGGTATAAGGCATATTTTTTACTTTAACATATACCTCGGTACAAAAATACAAAAGTGGAAAATGTATAATGGGTAATCTATAATGATCAGTGTTTTATTATCTATAATTTTATCCTCCAACGAAGAGTTAGTTAAAAGTAAATCCTGATTTGTAGGAAAAATATGGCAGAAAGATTTAGTTAGGTACAAGGTATAACATTCACCTAGGACCGCTAAAGTTAACCACATTGTTTTATTTGTTCACAATAGGTAGATATTCATGACGCAAGCTTGTAAAATGTAAACGTTTTATATTTCTTCTTCAAATTTTTAAACTACAAACGGTTTTTACTTGATAATGAATTTGGAATATTTATTATTATTGAAATATCACATGATAATAGACATGGGTACTACCAAGGTGGCTAGGTACTTGAAGTTGGCTCCCTCACCTTAACATATCGGTTCAAATTTCAAAATCATCATCAATATTTTGAGAAAATTTGCTAATCCACTTTCAGAATTTTCGAATAACCTAAAGACCAAATTGCAAATGCTGATGGATGTGCCAACTTCAAGTGACAAGTATTCCACCCGTGTTGAAGTACTATCAAGATTGGTACCTATCAAATAAATTGAATATGATAATGTTTGTATGATAAATAGTAAATTATGGAAATGCAGTAATGCCATATAGAAAATAATATTCTCACTGAATATCACCTTCATAACTAGTAACTACAGACATTTTTGAGTTTTTCATTTCAAAATTTGTAATTTGTACAGTGCTAACTAACAGCAAAAAAATATAATAGAGACCCTGGCGATCATATTATTCGTTTATACTGCGGTACCCTTCACAGCCAAAGAAAGTATACTATTTTTAATCATGGCACTCATCGCTATTAGAATATTATAATTTATAGTAGATACTTATTATACCATCACAACTTAAGAGTCCAACACTAGGTGCTGGGGATAAAATTCTTGTTCAGAATTAAAAATAAAAGGAATTTTTTAATGGACATTTTATTCAATCAAAATATGTTTTATTAAAACTTTTTTCAATAAAATGAGAAGTTCTGTAATTCTACATACATATTTTTAGTTTTTATCAACATAAAAATGTAAAAACTACAGTGGATAAACAAAAAATATTACAAGGGTTGGTACGGTACATTATGTTACTTAGATTTACTAAGTAATAACTCATAAGTAATAATAATAACATATTAACATACATTTTACAGTATATTTTACATTTAATCAATGGTAATAGAAAGTACATAAATACAAAAACTTTACTTCATTGTTTATAATTTCTATATCATTAGTTTGATTCTAGAATTTAACATAGTATCAATGGTCGCAATTAAAAAAATTATTTTTCTCTGACTGAATATTTCAAATTACAATTTTTAGTTTAATAAAAAAATAAATCTTTCTTAGATTTATAGAACATAAATATGTGTTGACAAATGTAAATTATTAATAATGTTACAAAGAATCAAAAGATACAGAATTTGCATTTAATGAAGCATTTACTTCTTGTTCTTGACGAGCTCTAATCTTAGCTTGTCGTCTTTCCTCAGCCAACATTCGGTTTCGCATCATCCTTTGTCTTTGTTCTTCAGTTAATCCAGTGTTACTGACACTTGGAGTAGATGTTACTGGGAATATATCTACAGTGTTAGCAATACGATCAAATACATCGATCTGAGGGGGTTCAACTAATGGTGGTTCAACTACATCATCCTCAGTTTGTGTTACACAATCATTGACATCCATATTCATTCTTATTCGTTTTAACATAACCTTAATTTCATTTTTTTTCCCTAATTTCTCTAACTTATCGATAGAGTCATCAAATGTATACCTAGGAAATAATCTATGAGTCCATTGTTCTAGACGGTTTATGACAGCATTGAGATCTTCAGATTCATGGCCTTTACCTTTCAACTGAATGTTCTCAAACCATGTTGGAAGTACAGATAACCCACGAGTACCTCGCAACCTGCAATTAATACATAAAATTATACTTCAACAGTTGGTTGATAGTAAAATAACACAATAAGACATTTTTTAAACAAATATTTAGAAAAAAATTAGAATAAGAATTATTTAATTGCCATAACTGTATTCTCGTGGACAGAGTATAGTTAGAAAAATAATATTATTATATTACCTAATTAAAACTAAAGTCTAAGAATAACTCGAAATCTTGGTTAAGTCTAATGATTTATCTCTAATTTAAACTTTGTTTTTTTTTTAAGTGCAAGAGGAATAATAAAGAGGTGGCTTTTGAATTTTATTAATACTACAAGATACCTATTAACTAACCTTAAAAGAACATATCGAGGAACATGTACATTGGTCATTAGTGTGATAAAAATTAAACTTGAACAATTAATTGAAAGTGTATGTAGTATGTCCATAGGTACTTATAATTGGCTACTTGCCTACTTACCCACATTATCTAGTATCTACATAAAATAAAACTAGGATAAGTGATTACCTTTCAGGATTCAATTTGGGTTGTGGATTTCTAACACGGATCTTCACTGGAACAATTTTTTTTTCTTCATTACCCTCATTTTGCTCGTCACGATCTTGCGGCTCTAGATATTTATTCACATTTTCATCGAGGTGATCTTCGACAAAATTTTCGAAATCATTTTCTTCAAAAACGTCCATCGCCGATCAGGAAAAAATCGGAAGTGGCATCCACTGAGAAACAATATAAGCCACGATTTCAATCAGTAAAAGTTTCTTCAGTATCAGAGTCAGCTGTGTCGTCTTCACTAGCAAATTGCTGAAAACCACTGTGGCTATCCTCTTCGTTTAGACGATCCAAATAGACGCACAACAAATATTTGTTCAAGCGATCCGTCAGAGTTGGACGAGTTGGTTGAAGTGATTGAATGGTATTATCGTATTTGCGATGATCTTTAGGCTTCCCGGTCATGGCAGATTGATATTTTATTGATTAAATCCCGCTTTCCCGCTAAATTGCCGACGATCAGAGATCAGACATTCTGAATACAACCGTCATCAGTCACCACCAACTACCAAGAACTGAAGTATACAACAGAACAATATTATACATAAATAATTATTATATTATCTATAGCCGTGGTTACCACTTACCAGTCTGTGTTATCAAAGTATCGTGTCTCAACAGATAGCTGGTATGGACCGGTCCGTACTATGCACATGGCCGGCCATTCGCCATTGGCTACAACTGAGGAATACATTATACAGTTGTAAGTTGTACAATTGAGTCTGATAATCACTTATCACTTATCAGTATAGTGGGTACTGCACTGCACATGGCATTGTGTGAATCGCTTGAATTTCAATCATGAATGTTATTTGAAATTCTGAATTAAACAATATTACTTTTAATAATAATATTTATCTCTACTTTGCGCTACCATAACACATAAATTGGTCACTCAAAGGCCAAAGCCATGAATAAATCTGAAACTATGTAAGTATCGTTTAATTTACGCAACTATTTTCAATCATATGCAAACAGTATAAAATAAATCTTAAAAACAAAAATATTTTGATTTTTACCATATAATATCTCCAGTATCTTCAGTTCTTAGTTTATTACCTCTAAATACAGAGTAAATTGATCTAGTATTTAATATTGTTGCTAATGTTAATGCTTAACTATATTTACTTTGAAAACTTCTGTTAAAATAACCCATGTTTTTAATAATTATGATTACCAGTAATTGTCTAGAAGAAAACTTGAATGGTAAAAAGAATTTTAAACGAGCATGGCGAGATGAGGATGATACAAAATCCAAGTAAGTTATACTATTATTATTATTATAAAAAAATTTTAATTGTTGGTATTGTTTCATTTTTTAATATTTAGCAAAGAGCAAAGAAAACTTTTAAAACAGAAGTATGTTGGAATTGTTGGTAAACCAAAATGGGCCAAAATCACTGCAGATCAATCAAGAAAAGTATTACTAGATGATGAAGATGAAGATTTGGATTTGCTTAAAGTAGATATTACTAAAACATAATATATATATAAGATATAACCTCAGATTAAATAAAATAAATAATTCAATCTGTGGTATAACCATTAAGTACTTAATTATAAATGAACAACATTTTAAATAATTTCAGTACAGTGGTAATTTAGCTCGTACAAAAAAAGGAGTAAATTTAGCTAAAGGCTTGATTGGTATAAAAAAATTACACAATTTAAATTTGTCCACGTCATCTTGTGGCAAAATTGTTAAATCAGTAGAATTTCATCCAACATCCAGTATAGCATTAATTGCTGGTATCTCAGGAAGAGCTTCAATTGTACAGGTATGATTTTAAATTTAAATCTCTAAATTACAAATATTTAAAACTACTGTTTACAGGTCGATGGATTTAAAAATGATAAATTACAATCTATTAAATTTCAAAAATTTGCTATTGATTGTGCACATTTTACTGTTGATGGAAAACAGTTTGTAGCTGGGTCCAGGACACAAAGAAATTTTTACTGCTATGATTTAATGGAAGGAAGGTCAATGTTTGTTCCTGTTCATCATAATATTGGACAGACTAGAATGGATGTTAGTTGCTATTAGTTTTTAGTATTTTTCTATTATCTATCACTTTTGATTTCTTACAAATTTAAATTTTACAGAACTTTTGCATGTCACCTGACGGAAAGTTAATAGCTTCTTGTGGCAAGTTTGGCGAGATTCACTTATTTACTGCTAAGAGTAAAGAATGGATAACTACATTGAAGATGAATGGTGCAGCAAATTCTCTAACTTTTACCAATGACGGCAAGAGAATGTATTCCTTTGGAGGTATCTAAATTTATGTTTTATTTAAGTTTGTTATTTGAATAGTTACTCTAGATACTAAGAATGTATTGTAGGTTTTCAGCTCACTAATCCATACCAAAACATAAGGAGTATCTCTTGTACCATAATTGTGATTTAAATATTTATTTTTGAGTTTTTTTATACAAGTATATAAGTTTTATGTACTAAAAGAAATCAGATAAATCTAGCTTACTGTCCAAAATTATGTTAATATTAAAAAATATTTAATCATTTATAGAGAATGGAGAAATTTATGAATGGGATATGAACACTCGGACGTGTATAAAGAAATTTATGGATGACGGCTGCCTCCAAGGCACTAGTTTAGCACTATCAGGAGACAATCAGTATTTGGCAGCTGGCTCGTCATCAGGTGTTGTGAATTTATATAAATTACCTTGTGATGTAAATCCAAAGCCAGATAAAACCATTTTAAACTTGCTGACCACTGTTTCAAAATTAAGCTTCAACAAAAGTTCTGATATTTTAGCTATGGTTTCTAATCAAAAGAATGATGCTATTAAATTGGTAATATTAACAGTTTTTTAGATCATTTAGTTTTCTAATTTAAAATAATGTATAATTCCTTTTTTTCAGTTGCATGTGCCATCTAAAACTGTGTTTTCTAATTTTCCTACAACATCTGATAATGTTGGGAAAATTAATTGTATAGATTTCTCACCCAATGGTGGATACCTTGGTTTATCCAATAATAAATCCGAAGCTCTACTGTACAGGTAATTACAATTATTAGTAATATTAATTGAGTTTTAATTTTTTTACAATGATTTTCCTTTATTACTTTAAAAAATATATATTAAACTAAATATTAAACAATATTTTTGTATTGAAAAACTTTAAATTTGTTGTTTATACATGATTTATTATCATTGAGTTTAAATTCTATAAATAAAATTATCTTGGTTTTGATGGAAAAATCAGAATGACAAACAATTTATTATCTTAACCATAATACAACTTTTAACATAAAAGATTATGTACACTATGGATGTTTAGTAAAGAAAGAGGTTATCTATTTTATATGAAATTGTCCTCCTATAAAAATGTATAGTTTATGTTTAAATGATAGTTTTAACTACCAAACCATACAGTTTGTACAGTCCTAGACAGGAGTGAATCAAAGTTTAGACTATGATAAATACAGTTACTCAGTTTTTGTCATAGATTGAATACTGTGTATATTTAAGCCTATAACTTTTAATACATTGTTATCTTAACTATGTAACATTTATTTATCTCTTAAAAAATGTTTGAAAATAAATATTTTTAATAATTTTCCAGTTCAATATTGAACGGAAATATGACTAACTAACAATGATTTTTTTTTTTATGTTTCAGATTGACACATTTCGAAAACTACTAAAACTAAATACAGATATTCAGCTGTTATATAATTACACAAGAAGATCATTAATTTTTTAAAAATATCAAATTTGTCTCCACAAATTGTATTTAATATATAATATTGATATTAAAAAATAAAAATTTTGTTTTTTTTTAAAGAATGTGAATTATAATTTTATACAGAGCCACAGAGGGTATCTTATTTTGATGTATGCATGGTTTTTTAATAATAATGGATCTATAATATGGAATTTAAAAAAACCTATTTCTTTGTTTTAAATTAGCAATTATTTTTTTCATAATTTTAAAATTTTTAAGCACACGATTGTACCAAAATCAAATGTATTTTTAAAGTGGTAACCACTATACTGTTAAATGATTTTTTTGAAAATTTTGTTAGTCAAATTATCTTTATTGGTTTCCTAGTTTATTTACCACACAGTCCTCTAAAGTTTGATTAATTCATTGTTACATTTAATTAAAATAATTGGTATGAATAAATTTAATTTATTAGTTCTAGATCATTTTTAATAACGATAATAATATTATATCGGTAAACCATATTTAAATGTTTTATTTATTTATTTTTTTTATATTTTTGACCTTTAGCTCAATAATTCCATTTATTCATTACTTACTCACATGTTTAGTTAATCATTCATGCAACCCTGCATCAACATCTTATTGTCCTAGTAATTAACATACTTGGCAGACTTAAAAAATTGTATTGCTACATTTTAAATGATAATCGTTCAGTTAATTTTAGTTTAGAGCCATCGCCCAGCAGTGGTCTCCATCATTTTTTCGGTGGTTTGAAGACCTGCTATAGTCAATTTTTTAGATTGTCAAGAAAGTACGGATTCAATCCAACCAAACCGATTAAAAAACTGAGAATTTCCTAAATCATTGAACGTGTGTTCATGTGAATATTTATTGTAATAAATGTTGGGGATTTTCTATACGTTGTAAATAATAATAACCGCAGTTCAACAAATATGTAGTGATGACTCCAATTGAGAATGAAGAGAAGTACATGAGGTACTTCCGATAATCGTGGTTGGACGCAGCAGCTACGAACCTCCGAGCCGACAAATTGTCTATATATTTTTTAAACAGCATCGTTGTTTTCATATTTTTTCTTAGAAACTTATCGAATTTCTTAACAATTTCTTTAAATGGGGCATCACTATTCAGAGTTTTTCCTAAAAATAAGACAACCGGTTAAATTTGATTAATTGTTTGTTCAAAAATCTTATTCCGATGATGTGTCGCACTCGAGAACTGTTGGGTTGGGTGATTATCGGTGGAACCCATCTCGACCGGCTGTTGCTGGAATAATGGGAATGGAACTGTTTGCACAGCGACGTCTTTTTTAGACGGCATATAGCTAACCGTAACTGTATTTTCATGGACACGCGGATGATTCAGTTGTGCAGGTTCTGGAGTCAAAGGCACCAATAATCTCGTTTTTGTCACCTCGAACACACTACGACGTGGCACCTAAATTTTTTTAATTCTATATATATATTTTATATATGTGTAAGAAATAATAATTTATATATTATTTCATGATATAAAAGACTTTAAGTTTATTAATATATCATTAGTAATGGGACTATACTCACTACCCTATCGAATAGGGTCATCAGGATCAAAATTTATGAATAGGTACCTAGTGAAAAAAATATTGAGATTTTTAAGAAAATTCTCACTGTTGCAGCATGTACTATCTTCGGCTCTTTTTTTATTTGCTTGTCATTGACATTCACTTTGCTTTCATTCTTTATTATTGGCTTTGAAATTTTACGTTCCAAATTTTTCGAGAGTCTATCTGCACTTGCTAGCATGCTGGCCAAAGACATCTTTTTGATCTAAAAAACATAGCAATTAAAAAAAAAAAAAACATCATACCTAATATTTGATGGATTATAATAATATGATCAAAGAGTTTCACGAAAGTTTTTAGATTTTTTTACCACACAAGCTTACAAATGGCCGCACCTGAATTGCTTGCGAATTTGTAACTGGATGCACTAAATTGCATGCCTGATTTTTATATTATACAATGTAGGTAGGGAAGACTGGGTACAATTGTAACACGGTAAATATTTACCTTCATGACAAGTATGAAAATTTAAAAAAAATACACTAACTGTAATACTGTAAATGGATTGTATCTACCATAGTACCATCTATACTTATCAATCGGCCGATGTCATGTTTGTTTTACAAGTAAAATAATAAAAGGTGATAAAAACACCATACACCAAGAACAAAAAATAAATTTTTTTTAATAAACCCAAGTTTACTTTTACTACGTCGCAAAAGAGTTTTGATTATGAATTTAATATATTTATGTACCTACGCCATATGACGAGAATTTTGTACATTCTAGTTTTGATTGTATTGGAAAGTTAATTGTGGCCTTTAATGCCTTTTCTACAGTTTTACCCTTACTGTGGGTACAATTTTAACATTAAGTTTTTCTTTTTGATTCTCATTTACTCAACATTTTTTGAAAATGAAATATCAATCCTCATGCATATAAAATAGGAAAATGTTACACAACAGATTAAATTAAGGTACCTATCTATGTAATCAAACAAAAAAAGTTAGAATACTAATTTAAATAGATAATTTCATGAAATTTATTACAATTGCACCCAGTCACCCCTACAATTATAACATTTTCCCTCCTCCATTTTCCGGTTAGGTACGTATATAAATATACGGGCAGGACACGTTTGGATCAATTTTCCCAACACACAACTCGGTTGGACCAATTTTGAAGATCCGTTTTTACTAAAAAAATATTTGTATTACACAATTCATTTGGACCAGCATTTTCCTTTCCATTTCATTTTTAACAGGCTTAGGACTGTCTTTGGCATGGTTAAAAATGCTGCTTCTTATATTTATAAAAATATAAATATAAAATTTGTTAGATTATTAATTAGAAATAGAATAATTATAATATAGTGTTTGTGATATATAAGTGTAAAGTGTATAACCGCAATTAGCATTGCTGATAGGGCCGTGTTGTAACAGATATCTATTATATATTTGTATATACTAATAATGTAACTGAGTTTTTGGTCAGTTACCAATTATAAATAATTGTCTTGATAAAAAATTGGCCCAAACGGGATCACAAAATTCTGGTCCAAACTGGTTGCATTTTTATTAGTGACCCAAACGTCCCTGGTCCAAACGTGCTTCGACCAAGTATACAACTGAGTCTCGATAACTCTACAGATCCCATTTATCGAGACTCCACTGAATGTGCCTAGTGGCTATTTTATAACCATTTTTAAAAATGTATTTATAAAAATTAAATGTTCGGTTAAAGTCGATATGCTAATTTGTCAAGCCTTTCTATTTGGTTATTTTCATGTTTATTCATTATGATCCTTGTCAAATTTTTCCTGTACCGACTCAATATCACCTCTAATGGTTTTTTAGATATAATAAAATATATAACAACAATATGTTTATTACCTATATGATATTTTCAATTTTGGTTATTATTGGTACAAATTAAGGTTCTTAGTTAATTTCAATTAATAATTAAGATAAATCTTTCTTTAATCAGTTAATGTAATATTTTTAATCTTTACCTGCCGTTCGTAATTGGTATACGTCGACAAAATGTCAAAATAGGTAGTAAATAATAGATATTATAATTTATAATAATGTTGTGGAAATGGAAAAAAATGATTCATTACGTATGTTTAAAACGCATTAATTTTATAAGAAAGATATTAGGTCGTAATATATCCGAATATTTGTTTCAGTGATTGCCCTTCAAAAAATAACTAAATACCTACTGACCGTCGACATTGTAATCTGCAGACTAGTCTTGCAAAGTATTCAAATACATTTTTTTTCTTCGAACACTTATTATACTTCTGAAAAAAAATTTTTGAATTATTTTATTCATTAAAAAATGCTTTATTAAACTCGAAAAATAGTTTATATTTGTGTCAAGACAAATTTTTCTATTTTTCTCTCAAAAGTCGAGTAAATTTGAAGTTATAACCAATAGTTTTTCTCTTTGAATGAAATATGATCGACCGACGTTAATTTCCAACCATTTGAAAACTGAGAAATATTAGCGGGAAAAAACTAAGTATAAAATAAGTAGGTACCTATGTATTCAGAACATATATTTTTTAAATGTATTCGGAGTATTTTAATACTGATTTATTTGAACACGTATTCCGAATACAAAATAAAATTATTCTTTACAAGACTGTCTACAGACTGGAGTTACCTTTTCTGTTGGAATTCTTACCCCAGGTGCAATAGGTCCGCCGTTTTTATTTGACGTTTTTGATTGTTGCTGTTGAATCTTCCGTGCATCGACAGAAAAACGGTTCGTCTTCGGAGAATTTCCAAGGTTGTCCATTCGAGCATTACCGTCGGGAAGCATCTGTGATTTAATTTTTGGACTTCCTAGTTCATCTACTCATTCGTTTAGCTTACACAAATTGACACAAAAGAATAAAGTTATGAATTTATAAGCCGAAGACAAAATAGATTATAATATATTGTTCGAATAACAGTAAATTATTATTATTATTTATTGTTGTTACGAGACAACAGGATGTTAAAATATAATATATATATACTATGGTTTTACTACTATAATATTATCGGCCCATTAATTAAATATTTGATACAATATTTTAAAAATATGTTTATTTGTAATTGATATTGTTCAGAGTTGATGAATAAAATCGGTTACCTATGAAAATAAATTATAATCTTCATCCTCTAATTTAAAATTTTAGAGCATATAATGATATGAAATATATTCCTATGTATTTAATATTTTTAATAATATTGTCTGTTATAACTTATAAGTATAATGTAATTCTCATTTATATTCGTTTTATTTATTTAGCAGGATAATGTCAAAAGCATTAAGAAATATATCTAAAGCTATTTTATATCTAATTAATGGGTATACCTAGCTAAAGATCAGGTATTCTGGGTATTCAGCTCCCATTAAACACAAAACGCTCGTTTTTTGTAATTTATTAGGATTAGGTGAGTTCTTACTGTTTCTTATTATATAAATCTTTCAGATTATAAATAACGTGTAACAGATTTAAGGCATATATCATTTATACATCGCAACATTATCAAAGCGTACTACCCACCTTAGTTTTGGATAATACCGTAATTACTAAAAATTAATACGTTAACAATTAATTTCATCGAATAACCAGCGGGTAAGGCAGGGAGGACGGAGGGATTCTCTGGCTATTAGCTTCGGGAGCAACATTTTGTGATGTATATTGTATAGGACATAGGTAGATAATATATTAATTATTCTATAGTATCAGTTCTCAATATTGTATGCATTTAAAACATATAATGAAAGAATATGACCTATTAAATATTTTGTAAAAAATACGTTTTTTGTTTATCTTAATAAAAATAATATAATTATAACTATTTTTCTATTCAAGTTATGTAGTTTTATATTTAAAGATTCCAATGAGAAGCAGTACGTACCGAGGTTTTTTAAAATGGAGAAAATTTCATAATATAGTAGGTATTATATTATATAATTATGTATATTTGGAAAAAAAATGGACATTCCATTCCATATGGACTTTTTTTCTTTTTTGTATTTTTTTTTTTTAGCTAACATATTATATTTTTATTACGCATCATTATTATTATATTTTAATACGTACTTATATAAGTAATTATTTTTCTACCTAATATTATTCATTTTGTTTACTTTCCCATAATCTTAATCTATTTCATTTTTATTGTATACTTCTAACTATACACATTTTTTTATCTTTTTCGTACCTATTAGGTATTATTTTAGTACATATTTTATATTTTCAGCTTACGTCTAGGTGACTAGGTATTAATCTATTTCATTTTTTGTTCATATTTTATGCAAATATCTATGAATATAATATAATATATTTTGCATTTTTCATATATTCTTTTACATTTTTCGGACCTTCTTTATTTTTCAGACTATAAATCTATTTCATTTTTTAAGTTTTTAACATTTTTCATAAGTATAAATTGTTTTCAGTTTTTAACATATTTTTTTTGCCATTCTTGGACCTACTATATTTTTTAAAATTATAAATTTATTCCCTTTTTTTGCATTTTTCGTGCATATTGCAATATTATTGCATGTATATCTAATAATTTGTTTTTCTTTTTACTTTTTCGGACGTTGGTTAGGTTAGGTTGGATTAGGTTAAGTTGTACAAATAACCAACAAATAACAATATAATACATAAATTGTTTTGTCTTTTTTAAATATTATTTATCATACTTTTTGATATATATTCTGTTTTTTTCATATTTCAATATTTTTTTGTTTTTTGACATGCATAAACTATCAATTATTTTGCTTTTTAATATTTATGTGCATTGTTATACCTATCAGTGGTTTTCAAACTGGGTGCCGCGGCACACTGGTGTGCCGCGAGTATGCACTAGGTGTGCCGCGGTTTTTCCATAAATTACCGATTGCATTGAATTGCGATATAAGAAAATAAATGCTTTCAATCTCTATGGATTTGATATATATTTATATATTAATAAATCGACAGTTTGTAGGAATAAAGTGATTAAGATAAGTAATCTCAGATAACTATTGAACTATAAAAAGTATAGGTTATCCGTTATATTGTTAGACAATATTTTATCACGATTTTACAATTTGAGAGAGGAGTTACTTGTATTTTTAACTATGGAAGAAACTGAATTCAACTTTCTTGGGGATGAAGAGTGGTGGACAAAGTTATCTTTCTTAACTGATTTGTTTGAGCATCTCAATAAACTAAATTCAAGTATGCAAGGTCGTGATGAAAATATACTATCATCGTCGGACAAAATTATGGCTTTCATCGGAAAATTGAATTTATGGAAAACTAAAATTAATCAAGGTAATTTAATCATGTTTCCACGTACTGCTTTACTAGTTGCGGATGACAACATTTTTTCATTAATAGTCGAGTCCATCACATTGTTAGAAGTAAAAATGAATAAATATTTTTCAAGTATTAATATTAAAAATTATGACTGGGTACGAGACCCTTTTAATGTGTCTATTAGTGACTTGGTTGATTTAAAACTTGTTGAAGAAGAAAATCTCTGTTCAATCAAAAATGATCGAACATTGCAGTTGAAATTCAAAGAGATCACTCTCAATAAATTCTGGATATATGTTTCTAAAGAATATCCAGAGATATCTATAAAAGCACTGACTATTCTTTTGCCGTTCTCAACCTCATATCTTTGTGAACAAGGGTTTTCAGCGCTTGCGAATATAAAAAATAAAAAACGAGAAAAACTAAATTCAGTGGAAGAAGAAATGAGGGTATGTCTGTCAACTATTCGTCCAAGAATTAAAAATATTTGTAACGCCCATCAGGCACACATTTCTCATTAAATGTACCTATGTATAAACTACACTTTTTTTTGTAAATAAATTTAATAACTAATTATACTGTAATTGTAATATTAATAAATAAATAATAAAAATTTCTAATTAAATGTATATAAAATTATAATTAATTCAAAACAATTTTGTTCATCTAAAAAAATGTCAGTGTGCCGTGAAAATTTTTTGAAGTGTACGGTGTGCCGTGTATAAAAAAAGTTTGAAAACCACTGTATTATACTATACTTTCTTGTTTTTGTTATGTGAATAAACCTATATTTATATAATTATATTGTTACACATTTTATATCATATGTATTCATAGTATTATACTTATTCTTATGTTGTATTGTATTATTGTTTGAAAGTTATTGCGTAGTATGACATTCATAATACTAAATACAGATATTTTATCAAAATTTTTGTACAGTGGTTAAACCACTTTTTGTAAATCAATAAATACATTACTGTCGTTGGATTAAAAATATAAATGATTAATGTAAAGCCATGCTTATTTTATTTTGCAGACGATAAAAGTAAGTTAAAAAAAATAAAAATAAGTTTAAAAATCTTAACTGGGAAGTCGTACTTTGAAGTACCTATGCTAAATCTAATTACTACATTATATTATATATAATCAGGAAAATTCAACTAATAAAAGAATAAAATGGGTTTTTACCCCCAAATCACATTAGTAATATTGGCGGTTTACCTATTTGGTGTGGCCCAAACTTATTCCCAGGCGTGATATAGAAAGTACTTATGTGTGACATTATTTTATTATCATTTATTATTTATTTTATTATTAATTGTTGTATCCTTAAAAGTTAGTAGGTATGATTAAACAATCCAAGTATATATTTTAATTTTATATTATCATGATGCCAATCATAATATTAGTAAAAAAAAAAGTGAATATTAACTTAACGCTATATTCCTAAAAGTTTTTTGCACTTCCCGCACGCGCCTGACAATATACTATTACATGCGGTTACTGCCAAACTCTTCACATTATTTTATGTTAAATATATCATTTTCTATATTTTTTAATCAAAGTAAGAACTTATGATAAACTTCAAATTACATTTTCAAGCTGTTTTATGCACATATTAATATTATGCAATCATACTTAAAATCAAAAACAAACTAAAAAAGTAGTACATATTAATGAATTTTAAATAGCAAATATAAATTAGTAAATTTTTATTTTCATTTTGATAAGAATTAGAACTACCTATATTTTAGACACGAAAGCAATATGTTAAGAATAATTATCAGGTTTAAATAAAATCAACACATGTTTCTTAATGCTATATTGTACTTGTACTTTATTTATAATCAAAGCTAGGATGCCATTTAGAAACAACTATTAATTACAATAACACTAAAATAATTAAAGACTAATATTGTAATCTGTTTACATATCTAACAAGAGTATATTAATGTTAACAATAGTTTATTTGTTAATTGCATAACAATCAACAGCACTCAATATATTTTAGGAATAAAAAGTGCACATGCTTACAATATATCTGGACAACTGGCACACAATAATAAATTTAAATAATTTTATACTTCCATGGTCATATTATAAACGGGACTGGGAATGTAACTACATAATTTAAAAATACATAATCGAATAGAAACAAAATATATTATAATTACAAATTAAAATTATTTCAATAGAGTACTATAAGTAAGAAATATTTATTTACAAAATACAATTAGGAATCGTTTAGTGTTTATAAAGTAATACTATATCAATCTCTTTATTCAAGATAAATAAGTGCAGTCTTTAAAATATTCAATATTTTAATAAAGGTCTTTAGGTTATGTCAAAATACACTGAAAAAAAAAAAAAATACTACACTTTAAATAAACATTGTATAATTAAAATATATCAGATTTTAAATTTATGAATTTCACAAGAAAAAAAATCGGTTCTCTAAACGTTATTAATTGTAAACGCTACGTAATAGGTTAATCTACTATTTCAATTAATTCACACAGTAAAAAATGCAATAATAAGTCTGTATATAATAAAACACAAATCAGCGATGTTGAATTGACTATTAGTTTTGTTAACAGTTAGTTGATACATTTGTTTACTTATATTGTATTCAATAATAATTCGAATAAAAAAACAATTTAAAATCATGGTTATAAAATAATTGAAGCTATTAATGAATATAAACACGCTAATTTGTTAATCACTAATGACTTAGTTTAAGTATTTTGTGTAATTTTTTTACAAAATACAAAATTTAAATAAAAATAAATTACACATAGACAAACCAATAGCTATAATAGTATAATATAAATTGGATACTTATTTCTAAGGTTCAAATATTTTAAATCTAAAATAACATAAATTTTAGGCTATAAAAGAGCAGTTTGTTCAATATATTACACTATACATCAATAATGATAAAAATGATAAAAACATAAAATTTGGTACACAAATTATATAAAAGGAAATGTAAAAAGTTTGAGTTAAAATTTTACACTTAAATTATAGTTACTTTTAACCACCTGAGTTGGTTTCTTCATCATCTTCGTCATCAAAACCAAAACAATTTTCAACACCATCACCACATTCTTCTTTTACGTCTAACAAAGACGCAGTTTTTAAAATTGTTAGGTCTTTTTGACTTGGTGCTGTAAAATAAATAATTTAATTTGAAAATTAAATTTAAAGAAAATTGTAATTTGTACTTACAAGAAGATTGGTCAACTTGTTGTATTGATACACTCGTGGATGAGTAATTATCTATCTGATCTTGACCATCAAGTTGAATCACTTCAAGTACAACATATTGCTGTCCATCGTCGCCTTCCACTGCTACAACTCCAGTTTCACTTGTTGGAATACTTGTGTCCTCTTCAGATTCATCTTCATTAGCTGAATCTGTATACTGCAATAATTTATTATCAAGAATTATTTTTCAATTTTATCCTCATGAAATCACACATTAATTACTTAAGTATGTTGAGCTTTATTCTACAACATTCAATTCGGTTTCCACCAGTCACATAATGTTCACTTCACACATTATACATATATGTATTTACCGCACATTTAGGTGATGTATTTATAACTTCTATTTTTATTATTGCCGTTATAGGTATGAGAAATTTATTTGTGTGTTTGTTAATTTAGTCAAGGTAATCCAATTACATGATAATAATAATCAAACAGCTAATAAATTATCCAAGAAGTCCAACAATACATCTACTGACAACTATGTTACCTACCCACAATATTGTAGAAGACACATCATACTTAATTAAATTAATAAATATTATAACTGTTCTTCCTAAATTATCACTCCACCACTTATACAAAATAAATTTAGTAACTCGTAAACAAGAAACTGGTATCATAGTTGTGTGTAGACTTAAGAGTAAGCTATACCCGCATGTGTTGTCTCCATCTTACAAGAGTGTAGAATATCAAATTTTACGTTCAGCAGAATACGTTAAGCTTAGTTAGCTTAAAAATGAGAGTGAATTTATAAGGTAAGTTTATTACGGAGGGCTTTTCGTGGGCTTTTTATTATATTTTAATTTTAAAGAGTTATGAGTATTTAAAAATTGTAAATTGTTTGTACTGCTTAAAATACTCATAATTCTCTTTAAAATTAAAATATAATAAAAAGCCCATGATAAGCTCTCCGTAATATTTTTACCTTTCATTTTAATAAGAGGTCAATCACTCTAATTTTTAAGCTAACTGAGGTAAACTTGATCTGCTGAATGTAAAATTTGATATGCTACGCTCTTGTAAGATGGAGACAGCACATGCAGATATAACGTCGTCTTAAGGGACACAGTAAATAACTAAGATATTAAAATATTATATATTTTAAGCTGAATATTTAGGTTAAAAAACTCTGTATATGTATATTCTGTGATATATACAAGTTGCAAGCGTACAAAATCAATTAAAATGAATAATTATTTTTAGGAAAAAAATGAATAAAAAAGTTTCATAAATTTCTTTTTGTCACAACTGATTGTAAAAAGTTAGATAATACATTTAAAAAATAAAAATACCTCCAGTCTTTGTTTTAATGCTGTATTTCGATCATTTCCAGTAGATTCTTGCATATGAACTTCCATATGTCTTAGTAAATTTCCTTTATGTCTAAACGATCGTTGGCACGTATTACACTGATGAGTTTTTGCATGTGGTGGAGGTGGTATATAAGCCGGATTATGATACAGATTATGATGGCGGCGAAGTAATTGTTTTTGTCTGAATGACTAAAGAAAAAATATAATAAGTATAGTTGATATAGTATAGCAGGGATGGGCAACTCAAAGTTACTAGAGGGCCAATTGAATTTTTATAAAATTTAAAATCTAGCGGGCCAGGGCATAGAAAGCAAAAAAAAAAGTCATTCAAAATATACATTTTAATTAGCATTTATTTTGTTTATAGTGAAATAGGTAATACAAAAAGCGTTATTGAAAATAATTTAATTAAATATTTAAATATAAATAGTTATTTGCAGTTTAGTGAGAGTTTTGAGGATGTGAGGCTTCTAATGACAACACGGCGAAATCAACTTGTATACCTATACCTAATGCAATTTGAAAATGTAGCGCGGGCCAGATAAAAAAGGCTCGCGGGCCACCAGTTGCCCACCCCTGTAGTATAGTATACAATAATTATTTATGTAACTTAAATTAATTTACCTGATCACATTGTTTACAATGGAATGGTTTTTCATCAGTATGTATTAACATATGAGTTTCAAGATGACGCTGAGACATGGAAGCATAAGGACACAATTCACATTTATAACATTTTTCCCCTTCGTGTGATTTACAGTGAACCTATAGAATATATTGATTAGAAAATATATTGATGGAAAATATATACTTCAATACCTTGTACTGGTAACGATCAGGGAACGCTTCACTACACCGTTTGCACTTAATAGGTTTGTCGGAAGTATGAAGCTTTTGTACATGAATACGTAAATCAGTTTTTCGACCACAAGTGGCGGGACAATGGTCACATTTAAATACAGGTTTTTCACCTAGAACCAAAATTTAATTATTTTTGTACTCTAAAATATTAATAATATAAAAAATTTAATTTACCGCTATGTATTAGTCTGTGTGTTTTTAAACTGTTGGATTGGGTAAACCTAGAAAAGCAAATATCACACTCATATGGTTTCTCACCAGTGTGTATACGCAAATGACGCTTTAATTTAAATGTATCTGGACTTGCATAAGTACAATGGGGGCACTAGAAAAAATTATAAATATTAACATCTAGTTATAAAGGAATATAATGTTTAATAGTAAATACTTGGTATGGTCTTTCACCAGTATGACATCTCATGTGATTTCTCATTTTGCTAAGTTCTACACTAGCATAATCACATATCGTACATTTATGTGGTTTTTCATGAGTATGCTTATACCGAACATGTCTAACAAGTTCTCCTGTAATATAAATATATATAAATATTTTATAAAAAATAAAAACATTTAAAACACAACATAATAATAAATACTTAGGAAGAACTAATAAATTTGCATACCCGATGTAGTAAAAGCACTTGGACAACTTCGACATTGATAAGGTTTTGTTCCAGTATGAGTATTAACATGATTTTGCAAAGAAGTTAGAGTTTTGAAACCACGTTCACAAACAGTACACTTATGAGGGCGCTCTTTAGAATGAGACTTCATATGACGAGACAACAAATACCTAAAAGAAAGTTTTTTAAATTTTATGAAAAATCAAAATACAATAGAAATATTAGGTGATAAGTACAAAAATAACAGCAATTAATAAGTGCATCAATAAAAATAACAATAATAATAATGAACTGAAAGACATTTTGAAACTCGTTAAGAATACCTTTTTCCAGTAGTGTAATTACAATAATTACACATGTGTGCTTGAGTTACAGTCTGTGACTTTTTAGGTACTATTTTAAGTATTTTAGATTTGTCATCTTCTTCGCCCGAATCCTAAATATATATTATATTAGAAATATATTAATAATAATAATAAATAAATAGAAATGTTTAAATTTTTTTTTAAACTTACAATTATTTCTTGTTTTTTTGGTAGAGTTGGATCTTCCCCATCATTAAAATCATATACATTATTGACATCAGGATCATCTGGATCAGGGTCTTCTTGAGAAATCTCCATACTAACATTTGATGTTTCATCATTTTTGTCATTTTGTTGTTTGACTACATAAAGAACATAATTGTTGGTGTCAGCGTCAGCTTGAACAAGAGTAACTGTTTGATACCCACTACCATCTCCTAAAGCAACAATCTAAAATTTCAAACATTTTACTACCCGTATTATTTATCATTTATAATTTTAAATTACTTGGGGGATATCTTTTTTAATTTTATCTTGTACATTAGGCAGAACAATTTGAGTTACGTTATTTATATTGTTTTCATTTGTGTTAGCCATCATTTGTGCATCATGTTCTGAAAGTCCTAGAATTTAAATTAGTTTTTAAAAAAAATGTTACATTTTGAATTCCAATATTGTAACTTTAATTTTAACTTACCTCCAACCATAACCATCTGGCCATCTCCTGTAGTTGTTTGATAGTAATATTGGACATTTTGATCTATGAAATATGCATGTTCTACTGAGTCCCCATCTAAATTTATTTTTTTTATTAAAATATAAAATAAACTTTTAAGTAAAAATAATACTTACCAGGTTGTACTTGTGTTACATCATTTCCTTCAATTTCTTTATTAAATGAATCTAAGTAATTTTGTATGTCTGTGATATTTTCAGAGCCAGAGGATGAAGCCTCTAACTTTATGTGAGTTCCATCAATAGTCATAGTATTTGCAGATGACCCGGCATCTAATACTAATAATTAATAGACAATGACTTAGTTAAATGTGGTACATTCTAAATAGGTCCCAAACACCTATTCGAGGGTAATATGTTTAAATTTTTTAAAAAACTAAACTATTAAATAACTAAATAATAAACTAAAAAATCGGTTTTTCATATCTGCGTATTTAACTCAGTTATTAATTGATTAGTACAAAAATATGTTATGCTAAGTTCCATAGACACCAATGAAAATATACCATGAAACAGAGTCATTTCATAACCATTGATCAGCTAATACTAAGACAGGGTTTTAGACTTAAATTTATAAAAAGTAAGTGTTTTTAAAACAAATTTTGTAAAGAATTTTTTTATTATATAATTTAAGGGGATGTAAGATGTTAAACAAGATTTAGGTATATTTTAGGTTTAGAATAAGGTCAATGCCATTTTGAATTTTTTATTCAATATAAAAAAAAAATGTTATTTTATACATTTAGTAGAGGAATGAATTATATTTAAAAAAATACTCAATACACTTAGTATAGGTAATATAATGCGTGTTGGATAAGATAAAAGTATAAATACAGAAAAACCATAGATTTAAATTGTAAGACCTAGAATTTACTGAAAGTTTGTGGTAAATTCTAAAATATACAAATTAATTAGGTCAAACCTCAAATGGTTAATGTAGTTTTGGCTTTTCCAAATGAGAAATGGTAAATTTTAGTATAAACAATTTATTGTGGTAATAGTCCAAAGTGTAAAAAAATATGCCAATAACTAAAACGTCCAAATCAAATATGATAAAATTAAAATCAGTATTTGAAACTTATTCTATACATTTAATTTTAACTAGTATTATTAATAAATATAAAATATGTATTTAAAAAATGTATATGATTGTCAATCGACAATAAATACTATAGATGAATAGGATACATTTTAACTTAGGTTAGGTTTTACACAATTCTCAATGTAACAGTAGGTAGTCAATTGTGTACTAACAAATAATATTGTATATTGTAATAATTTTATATTATGTTCTAATTTTTTTTAAAATCATTTTCATAACTAAATATATAATTTAAAAAAGAAGTAAAATATATCTCAAACTAGAATGTTCGTAAATCTATAATTGTAAATAATTAAAGTGTTTCAATGTTATGCATTTTTACATTTTTAATTAATAAACTTAAATTAGAACAATTTTAAAATAGGTACTAATTTAACTTTAATGCAGAAGTTTGACTAGGATATTTATTTTTTAACACATCTTTTAAAATCTATTTCAGACATGAACCATAATAGATAGTTTATTAGTTTATCCTAACATTTAAAATATCTTGTTTGTAAAAGTCAGACCTACAATAATCATTCGTGGCTCAACCAAATTAATTTAACATTAAATCTTAGTTTTCCTGTTATTTGTGCTTTTACAGTAACATATTATAGATTATAACTAATTTATATGAACTATATCATGTACAGCATAAATCTGCGATTTAAAAAAACCATAATTTCTTATCTGTTTATGGTATTAATTAAAATGTTATTTAACTAATAAATAGGGATTTAAGACTATTTTCACTGATGTTAGATTTATAATAATTAATAAGCATAATAAAGATTAACTATAAACTAAATTACCAATAGTTGCTCCTTCGTTTTCAGACATTGTCGAAGTCTTGTTAATTAAATACCTATAATCAAACATTCAATTTATTGTTTGGATAATAATATTAAATTTCTAGGATGTTCATAATATAATATTTAATACAAACTATATTCAAATATTAAATGTTTGGAACCAGAGCAGAAGTCAAACACGGTCACCAAGGACTGACTAGTGACTTCAACATTCATGTATTCAATATTTAGCTGATAAGAATAACATATCAGTTTGGATCCATCGAGAACAACTGTTCAAATTTAAAAAACAAAATATTTTTCGTTTAACGAAAAATGCATATAATTGAGGTAGCAAATAACTCGAGTCTTGATTCAGGATCCCTGAAGGAGCGTTGGTAATAATATTGTTGAAACGATAGAAACGACCAAAAAAATGTTGTGAAAAAATAAAAACCCAACAAAATAAACAGGCATAAAAAAAAAATTTTAAAAAATTGTTTATCGCGGTAGTGTAGAAAAGGATAAATGATTGAAAAAATTACAACAGTGCACACACACGCGACAAAAAGTACCTACGTCAGAACAAAGAAAATAATGTGAAGGTATATGATATATCACAATATACTATCGTAATAAGTAATGACTAATATAATATTATGTCGTGCTAAAACACAATATTATTATTGATTAAATCCAAAACGACGGTTTGGACCGGGCAGGAGGGCTGCAACCGCTGTGAGCCCGTGATAAGGATTAACAACAACAACAACAGTAACAATAACAATATTTCGATGACATATGTAAAATAAAAATTGAATATAATATAAAATCTAGATTGGGAGATGGTTTTTTGTAGATTTGTTTTGGGGGGGTGTAAAAGGGGTCCTCGTTTGCGATACAGGTGATTACATTACAATACTAAACGCTTGGGTGCCGTATATATTTTCTGATTTGTGTTTCTCCAGACGATAAGCGTAAGCAATCAGCAGGGTATGAAAATTCATGAAATACTGTAAGGCAGATTGTTAGTTCGAAAGGTAAGTACCTAGTATCAACTCGGAAGCCCGCTGAAGTGACGGACAACCGAATACGAATGACAAAAATCTATTTCGGACATCTGCGGGCGGTACCGATCATTAAAAAAAAAAAAAAAAAATAGTGATCTATAATGGTCCCTATAGTGAACTGGACTAGTAGAGTAGTGACTATACTGAGACACTGAGTGGACACTACTGGACAGCAGACACCAGAATACTACAGAACTAGATGCCCAGATAATGACATTGCTATCGAATTGCAGAATGTATAATACATTTAACAGATAGGTACCTACAATTATAGATAAGACGCGGAAGAAATGACGGAAACGTCCACGGAACGCTGCCTATCGGGAATTAAGAAAAGAGACATTGTCGCGTCGTGCACACATAAACATATTATTATTATTCTACTACTTACACGTTTTGTACACGGGGGGCATCATTAACAGCCGCGGCGAGACATATATATTAATCCTATGAAAGCGCCGCCACACGGCAACCGTACACATATTATTTTACGACGCGCCGTTGGCCGCGGCCGCCACCGCCACCGCCGCGCTGCTCATGTCGCTCACTAACGACGCTCACAATTATTAACGACGACAACAAGCAACGACAACGAGAGTCGAGACTCGAGAGTGACGGCGACTACAGCGACGAACGCGCGAGCGAATCGACGACGCGATAGAGTTAGAAACTAATATTACCATATTGGCATATTGATATTGTGTTGTGGGGTACGTATGCGGGACGACGAAGAATCATATTATTCACTATTATTGTTGTTGTTGTTCTTCTTATTATTATTATTAGGATTGCTATTGTCGTCAATTAGAAATTGACGCACGGATGGCGATAGTATTCGTACCTCAGCACTGGGTCGCAGTCGAGAAATCCTCCGACCCTGTAATGTCGAGTAGGTACTCAAGAGTAGGACGTATTCTGTACTTACGCGGTGTTCGCGAAGGCGGCTGCGGAGTGTTGTCAGGCGTCCGTTGAGATGACGCCGACGCGTTAATATTATGATTATGTTACGGTTTGTCCGTGGTTGTCGTTCACGCGACTACGCTTTTGCGAAACGGTGAACCGTAAACGGACGGGTGTAGGGAAACGGCGATCGTCGGTGCGCGCAGCGGTTTCGGGGACGGCACGCATACGCCCGATGACGGGGACGGAGGCGGCACGGGTACGGGTGTCAAAAATCGGCCGCCATTTTTTTCCGTTCCTGACGGTTGTTACACACCGTATACTGTACAGTGTACACGACGTCTTGTTACACCCGGTGCCTCGACGAGTGCCCGCCTTTTTTGACGATGTGCCTGAACGCGGTAGTTGGTCACCGCCAAAGACGTTCGAAACGCAAATAGTTTCCCGCCATTTATTCAAAACAATAATGCCCAGTAGAAAACTAAATTGCTGGTTTCAACATACAACACTCAAGGAAGTAGGAATAATATAATCGTATAGTTGTAAGACGCGATAATTATAAGTATGTTTTTGAGAAGTCTGGTGGTTTCGATGTCGAAGGAAAGATATTTGTCCGGCAAGTTAATAGGTCTATGAGCAAGATCACGTAGTACGAGTAATTTAAATAATGAAAGAATTATTATTTTTATCTAAGCAGCAGCTGTTATTTTTGACTATCAAATTTTTAAACTTCAAATGCAATTTGTTAATTTCGGGGGGTTGAATGCTTAACCTCCTGGATGCGGACTGTGTAGTTGTCAATAAAGTAAACACAAAATAATCTTCACTCAGAAGAATAGATCCACGAATTTTTATTTTTGTCACATTAAGTATAAACAGTGGTAACGACTAACGATAATCGAACCACAATCGCTGCGCCAGTCGTACGACTTGAACGCTTTAGGGGACTTTTGCTAAAAACAATCGGATTTTATATTATTTTATTATATTATCATTTAAATCATTTAAAATTTTAGAAAAATAAAAACTTGAATTTGTAGCTAAAATATATTTTTATAATACACTGTACAATTTACTGACTATAATAATCAGGCGCGTCCCCAAGAGGGGGGGACGAAGGGGCGTTCGCCCCTGCCATAACAATTTTTAATATAGGTATATAATTACTATTATGTCAACAAAATTATTATTAATACGTATAATGTATAGATTTTAAAAATAGGTTCGCCCCCCCCCCCTTGAAAACTTACTAGGGACGCCCCTGATAATAATCAAACTAAGATACTAAGTATTAATTGAATTACATTTACATTTAGCAACAATTAATGTAAAATGGGAGGGGGCAGTGTCCCCTAAAATTTTTTCTACCTATAAAAATGTTAGGGGCTGAAGCGCTCCTAACTTTAAGACTTCTAGTTACACCTATGGCCAGCAGCCCAAAATGTTGCTAATAGTATTTATTTTATGGTATTATTTATTGTTATATTAAAGTAATTTATTTTACTATTACAATTTATTATTATTTCATCTTTTAGACTTAACTACTTTAGTAATAGGTACAGCTAGTAGGTTAGCTAAAAAAAATTGCATGTGAGAATATCACTGTGTACTGCTGTTTAATGTAACTTATAAACATGACTTATTCTTTTTTCATAACATTTATTTTTATATTTTGTGAAATAGAGGTCTCATAACACATTTTTTTTACCTCTCTCCTCACTAAAAAATAACTTATGAATGAGGGCAGCGTAAATTAGATTTGTATTGGGTAGCAAAACTACTCAGGCCCAGGGGCGGATCCAGCATGTATTTACGGTTGGGGCACTTTATAGGAAAAATGTTATAATATAAATATAGCACCCACCTAAAAAAAAAAAAAAATGTAAAATGCATAAAAAAAATTTTCCAACGGGGGTGGCACTTGCCACCAGTGCCCCCCTCCCCGGATCCGCCCTTGCTCAGGCCGGCCTTGCTCCAAAGTGACCTGGATGCAATTGATGCATGAGCTAATAACATTGGTTTAAAGTATTCAATAGAACCACTCAAGTGTTATACTGTGCTCTTGTTAGATCAATTCTGGAGTATGCAGTTGTCATATGGAATCCTCTTGGCTCCTATTGCTAGTAGTATAAGCCAGATTGAAAGGGTACATACAAAAAACATTTTTCAGTTTTGCTGCTAGGGTACTTCATATTGACCCAATGATTATGAACTGGTACTAAGATACCTAGGTACTTCACCTTGATACCTAGCTACTGCCTACTAGTACTATCAATCTTAGCTCATGGGCATATTTCTGCTAACCAAGTGTTGATAAAAAACTTATTGATAATTCTATTGACTATTCTGAAATACTAAGTCAACTTAATTTCAAGATCCCTATCTTCCAGTCTGGATCACTCTATTCTTATTTTTTTACTCCTCAGCACCAATTATTTCCAAAATAAATCAATGTTCAGGATGATACTAATAATGAGTCGGTTTCTTTTTAATATTATGTAAACAATATTTATCTTTATCTATTTTTTTTTGTTTACATTTCTTATGTCTATATGTATATACATATTATTCTGTACTTAGGGCTACGACCTGTCCTATTACAAAAATAAAATACATTGTAGTAAGTATTATGCTATTTATTGATGTTACATACTATATTATTTAGATTTCATAAAATGGAAAACATATATGAAACAATAATGTACAGATATCAAAAAAAAAAAATGAAGCTGTTCATTTGACTTTCGAATAGTGTCTTTGTGCATAATAATCGTATCAAAAAGTGCCCTGGGAGTAAAAAATAAGCAATTTTTTATCAAAAAAAAAAAATGTATTTTGTAATAATATTATTTAATATACATATTAGATTGTATTGTTTTGAATACATTATTTGTTATTTATTTTCATTGTATGTATGTATACTAATATATTTATAATTTTATTAATAAATAACAGTTTTAAGGATTTTCCTTAACAAAATAATCAGTCTTTTTCTTTTAAGAATATAAATTATTAAGAAACTAATAAAAATAAAAAACAAATTTAAATTCACAAGATGTATTTTTCTAAAAAAAATTGTATATAAATTAAATAAGTATAACAATTAGTTAACTAGAATTCACTATTTATGATAAAATACGGCCCACAAAAATCCAACTGCAAACAAACACATTAACAGTAAAATATATAATGAATACTTAACGTAACGTATATGTTGAGAGAGGACACGATTGGACATTTCTAAAGTAGTAACCTGAAAAAAAATGTTATTCAGATTTAGTAAATTGATTTCTATTTTTCATTACAATAGTAATTACTATTTACTAATACTTTATAATTTTGTATTGTACATGTAATATTACATTGGTGGGAATATTTCATGGATAATACTGTAGATCTATAGCAATAAATAAGTTAACCAATAAAATTAACTGTAAGAATTAATGTAGCAGTTGTCACTTATTTTGCTCTCTTAAGTGGAACATGTGCTAAGTTGTCTAAGTGCTAATAATATACGAACACTACTAATTGGTCAATAACAAATATCAGTAATTTTGAAAAGTTCTGTCCAAATTTGAATATGTAAGATCTTGTATTAAAATTTTAAGATTTTTGGAAAACATACATATTTTATCAACTTTTATAGAAAAAATTGTGAACATTTAAAATGCAAAATATCATACAAATATCATAAAATTAGTATAAATACAGTAGAAACCGCTTATAACTATCTGCAAGGGACCTAGAGAATTAGGGAATAATATTCGGATGACAAATAAATACTTCATATGTGATTTAAATTCATCAAATACATAGTGGGAATCATTTTATCCAGAATATTATAAAATATATGTGATATTGTAGCTAGTATTTATTATATATTTATTATATCATTTTTACAAATTATTAATTTTGATTGATTAATATTAATCACCAACATTTTTGAATTACCATATCTACTGTATCTTCAAAAATCATAATCATAGACAATGGACCTAGTATCTTTACTACACCAACTTGTATAACTTGAAAACAACTTATTCAAATTTTGATTTTATTACGTTAAAATTTCACAGAATAATTTATAGTAGAAAAAGGGGGAGGAGGTTGTCAAGTTTGTATCTCCACAGAACACTCATTAAGTAGTACAACGAATCTCAAGAATTTGAAAATATGGTCTTTAATTATGTTTAAAAATGCCAATAAATAAATTTTGAAAAACTGCATCATTAAAAAAAGAAATGGGTGATCATGCTTAGTGATCACCCCGTCTTAACATTATGACATCTAATTTCATACAAATTTGAACTTATAGCACTTATAAAAATAAACTGTGACTACGTATTTAAGATTGTAAACAATATCTGGATTTATAGTTGGTAAGTTTTAAAATACCTTGAATAATTTATACTTATGTAAATTATATAAATGTTCAACTAATTTAAATAAAATAAAATAATTTTGAAAGTTTAAAATTTAAAGATAATTTACAGTAATTCAAATTATTTAGTAATAAAAAAAAATTATAAATATGTATTGAAATAAAAATACTTTACCATATTCATTAATTTGTTAACTTTTTCTTCAAGATCATTATTATGATTCTGATCATAAGAATCCAAAGAATTTACTGTTTCATTTTCATTAGAAATTTTACATTTTAAAATGTGTTGTTCTTTGGTTTCCCATTGTATCTAGTAGACAAATTAAAAATAAATAATTTTTTAAAAGTTTTAACTTTTTTTATCAGACAATTCAAAAAATCTATAAAAGAAATATGTTTCTATAATAGTTTTAGCAGTGACGTATCACCGAGATCCCTGTGGTTGATCCTTTTGGTTATCAATGTTACCATCCAGTTAAGATCAAAATTTTACAGTGATGCTCGAGTCACCACTCGTTCGTTTCACAGCACTGCGCTTGGATGAAAAAAACAAAAATATCCCTCGACTAGTTATGTAAAACCATCTTGGTGGCAATTAGCTCCCTATGGTTAACCCAGTTGTGTCATATGGATCGTGGGAATCTGGGTGGCCATTCATCAGTTTTAGCTGTTATACATACTGTGAGAAATTTTTTAAGAAACAAACTAAAGAAAGGGCTTGCCCTTCTTTACTAATCCTACTTTTACATTTAGAATTATGAAATTGAAAATATTTAAGATTTAGTTAAGTATTTATTATTTTTATTAATGTTTCCTAAATAAATATAAATTAAAAATACCTTCCACATTTCTGCCATGTCTTTAGTATCTATAACAGGAATTACTAGTACTAAAAATTTATCTCTCATTACATCAGTCTGTTTTATT